TCTCATCCTATCCATGATTATTGGTTTTACTTCCTGCATAATAATAATAATAATAATGTGCACAGGACAGGACCTTAGAAAATCAAGAATGTAAAATGGGGTGGAAAGCAATTGTAGAACCTCATTTGAGAACCAAAGAAGGTAATCTGAGAACTCCAGATATTGTTTTTACAAAAGGAAATATTGCGGTGGTGGTAGATGTCACAATTCACTGGGAGGATAATGCTGAGAGCTTGGATAAAGCCCACAAAGAAAAAGTTGCCTACTACCTCAAATTAGAGGAAGATATTAGGAAATTAACAGGAGGTACAAATATCTACTTTTTTGGTCTCGTGATTGGGGCACGTGGCAAATGGAGTGAAGGAAATGAGGAGCTTTTAAAAATCTTAGGAATTGAGAAAGGCAAAAATTTTAAGGAGAATATTTGTAGACTCGTCTTATATTCCACTGCAGATACGATGGCAATGTTCAGTGACAAGTAAAGATCCCGGAGCTCCATTCCATGTATCTTACTATGACTAAATTTTAGCTATCTTTTTCCATATTTTAAATTCATGGATTATTGGTAATCAATACCTCTATATCCATTGCTATTTATATATTTGTCCTTTCAGAGAATGGCTTGAATCTTTTAATAAATATTTAGACATTTGGATTGATATCCTATTTTAAATTATTTTTCTACTGGACTTGGACGCGGACTGGCCGCTTATAGTAACCAGGAAAGGGCAGGTTGTCACACTGGTACATAAGCCAGGGGGCAGACTTGAAGGGAAAACCAAATTTGTTTTCTTGGCCAACTTCGCAGTAGCCATTAAAGGTCAGAGGGAGCTATCAGGTGAGCCAGAGTCCCCTAAACATTCCCCTCTGAGCTCTAACCCCACACAACCAAGTACAAGTGCAAGAGTTAAGTGTCTGGAGTTCTGACTTCTAAGTCCCCCTGCTCTAACCACTAGACAGCCCCCTCCAGAGCTGGGAATAGGTTATGTGTAGATATCACTGGTGTGTTTGGGCAACCTGGCAGCAGGAGACAGTGGAGATGCAAT